GAACTTTGTCTTTTAAAAAAGACAGAAAAAAGACCAACTTTAGTACTATTTTTCCACTAATTCCGAGTCCGGATTGCAAAAACATTTATGTTTCATTTATGAGGTTTATTTTTTATATATTGCTTTAGATCTTTGAATGGTTTAATAAACTCATCGATTTTTTAATGAAATTTACTTTATATAATTCGTCATTGTTGCTAGACCAGACTTTCAAATGTTCGTTGACGTGAAAATATGCTCGCAGTTTATTAAAACGATTACGTGACATGATATCAGCTCTCTTATTATATCGCGATTCTTCTGCCCAATACATTATATACGAAGGAACACGAGCAATTCTTCTCGTGTATGCCTAAGAACTGCTTTATCTCTGCTGCATTTGTATTAATTTTTACTGTCTTTTTGCACAGAATACAAGTTTGTCTGCTCAGTAAAATACAAACATGTCACAAAACATTTTAAAATATTGAAAAGGTCTATAAACAGTTTCATCAACCGGAAAATCACCACTGTATTCTCTGTCTACATCAATTAAATTGTTGTCTGTTCAAGTTGGTTTTTCTGTGCTTTTTTTTTCTTGGCTTGACTTGTCTGTGGCTCTTCGATAATTTCTTTAATATTTGTTTCCCTTTTCTCTGTAACTTAAGTGTTCAAGCTATTTTCAACAATATTTTTTAATAATTCTTTTATTTGAGTTTCTTTAATCATTTTTTTTCCAAAGTCTCTTCCTCATTATCAACATCAAATTTGATATCAGAGTCGTCAAGAAGACTAACTACTTCTTCCTGAAAAAAATTTTACAATTCCCGAAAATAAAATTTGGTTTTGGTAGTTTTGAACACAGGATCCATCTAAAATAAAAAAGTATATTGTACTTTTAAATTTTATTGACAGAAACAAAATTTACACGACTTTCCAATGACGCCATTTGGAGACATCCACAATGGCCCAATGATTACATTTGAATTCATGGATATTTATAATGTTTACATAACCAGTCTTGTGAATTTGAGCAAACTATAATGCAAATTAGCAAATAAAAACAATGTAAGAAGCAAAATAAATATTTTCGTGTAATTATTGGTTCATTTACTCACTTTGGAATGATGCTCAAAGTACCCAAGTATTCAGTCTTTTTACTTTTTGCAAAATTTAAAGGTGCTCTATCATGTAAGCCTGTCCTTCTGAGTACTTCCTAATTTTTGACCCTGTCCGTCCATGATATTCTAAGCATTCGACGAAGGCACCACATTTCAAACACTTCAAGTTTGTTAATGAAACTGGCCTTTAACGTCCATGCTTCCATTCCGTATAAGAGAATAGGCCACACGTTACACTTAAGCATCTTGTATCCGAGGTTAAAGTCCAATTTGCGATTAGTCAGAAACTTACGAAGCATGAAAACAGCATTTCTGGCTTGTTCACCTCGTTTGCTAAACCCTCGTTCAGCAAACAATCCAAGTATTTGAATTGCCTGACTAGGAGCGTAGACTGGTATAATATTTATGTTAACTTTTCCATACAATTGAATAAGTATGACTCTTTCGGAGATCAGAACAAAGTTCTTCTCGAAGACGCGGAAATTTTCGCTTATCAGAACTCCCACCCCATGTATGTGGTATGGTCTGTGCTATCACTGCATTAGTAATAAAGGGTTTTACCAGTAGTATTAATCATACCTGTACCTTCCCTTCGCAATTCGATTATGCTGAGAATATCGATGTAAATTCTGTTCATTTCCTGAATGAGATTTTGTAGTTTGCCTGCTGCAAATGAACTTCTGACATTCCACGTAGCAATTTTGGTTATCTTATCAAGTTGAAGCCGGGAGATTCTTCACATCCCTTGGCCATTTAAGGCCTGCCCGAGACTAGGGCCATTTCTTTTGGTTCTTTCAGCATGACAAGAAAAAATCTACGGACGGATGTCCTGAGGAATATAATGCGGTAGTTTCCTACTTGCTTTCCGCCTCGCAGTACCGTAGCCCTCTAACTGTTTTAGTCTCACCTACGGTATTATAGTAAGAAGCCGGTTTAGGATCATTTCCTTTACGCCAAATTCTAGTACTGGTGATCGCTGCTGCCCTTTACCAGGTTGTTTCTATACTATCCCTAGAAACAGGGTTGCCACTTCCGTTGAATTCATTGTACCGAATACTATACTCTCATATTTGCATATTTAATTTGCATATTAAAGCGAATTCTACTTACGGATGTATAATTGGTTGGAATTTAGAATACGCTAGATAGATATCCAATCAATGATACGCATAAATATAATTTGACGCATGGTCTTGATGGTGACAGTACTTTCACAATGTCAACTGATAAAATGATAATCGTCGTTCTAGGTTCAAAATCAAAAACTGTCCAAAAATCAACTGCTTCATTATTTAAACTGTTTACATTGTGTTTTAACTTAACTTCATAACACTCTTTTATTTGCTCACCAAATCTGGTAGAATGACTCAAAAGTCAACTGCTTCACTATTTGAACTATTTCCACTAATTAATGATAAATCTTTACAAAATTAAATTATTGGCTGCCACAGATGCTTATCGGAAAATTACTTATCCGAATATGACTGATTTCAGTCGATGCTATTTTATCACCATGATGTTTGCTTTGATGTCTTGCAATTACCAGTAAAATTTTTTATCTCGCAGTCAACTTTTAAAATATTCTACAAAGAAGCGTTATTTTAAATAAACAAACATTCCAGTTCCATAGTGTTTGCAATAAATAATAATAAATCCATTATTAAATCTTAGCTACTTAAGCACTTTCCTTGGAATGTATAGAATAGGAATTATGACAAACTGCCGTTTCAAGTTTTTATTCCATATTAAAAAAAAAAAATAACCATTTCACGTTGTTATACTTGTTATACGATCCTCCAACTGTCGGAGTTAAATAAAAAGTCATGCAATAATTCTCGACATTCTTAAAATCCTATATGACGCCAAAATTAGAGACGCACTGAAAGAAAGGTTTGGGACAGACTGTAAGAAGCTTATTACATACGAGTAAAAGAGTTATTTTACAAGCATTTAATAATCTTACAACTCAAGTTGTGTATTATACTTTTTCTACAATTATTTTCATTTATAAAAATAAAAAGTATAGCAAGTAACTTTTATTTATTTAACAAAATTCGAGAACAATTAAAATTAAACATTTGTTTATAATAATTAATTGTAAAATTTTGCAATTCTTTATAACTATACTGTACGGTGTGTTCTCTTTGGACATTGCTATTTTCAGTGTATGTAAAGGTCTGTAAATTACTTTCAGTTAAATTTATAATTCTATTGGTTTTGACGTCTTATTATCTATTGACTCATCGACATACCCTTCGGCCGTTGTTGAAGATTTCCATCCGCCATGTCGGTTAAGAGCCATTAAACCACCACCGGCATCTACCAAAATAGTGGCAGAAGTTCGTCTTAAACAGTGACCTGTGTACATTTTGAGATCTGGTAACTTTAAATACTCGGCTATTTGTTTAGGAACACCGCCTAGTATGTTTAATCCTACCAACTGTTTCGTACATCTACCTCTCATAATTAGGAACAATTGATTTATTTGCGGATCGCAAATCTGTAGTCGAATTTCAATATTTATTGTTTGCAGATTTTATAGAAATTTCCGGAAATAACGAAAAATCTACATATTTTGGTTTTCGTATTAGGAATTTTAACCAATAACATGGTACTTAAATCATCAATGTCACAAATTTTAAGATTCTTTAACTCTTGTTTCATACAAGCTCCACATATTCCAATACATAATTACAATAACCTTAAAATAAAAGTATTATAAGTAGGCATAATTATGTTATACTTTTAAATAACATACCTTTATTAACAAGTACTGTACATCAGGAGCTCCATTTAAAAAAAGTTTTATTTCATTAGGATGTAAAATCTTGATTTCTCCAAAATCAAGAGTACGTATGAATTTACATTAATTGTTGTACGCCAATCCATAAATTGCTGATATACCTTTTCATATCTTCCTCTAGATTTTTCTGGTAATAGGTTCTCGGTAGTATTCGCAGCTAACTGCAGAATATTGGGTGGTGTGCTACTAAATTCATTTTCACTATTCGATAAACTCATTTTATTTATCTGTATTTAAATTACCCCTATATTTACACTGAAAGATTAATAATTTTTAATCTGTCAAAATAACGTCTGTTAATTCGTTTCCATGGTAACTCGACCAACTGACTTACAAGGCTTGTGTGATATTACACATTTTTATAGAACTGAAGCGTAATTTTTTTTATTACGTGCTAGTCTTTACGTGTCAGTATCTGTTTTGATGTATTTACTTAGTATCCAAATAGTAGGTAATATACAATTTACTATTAAGAGAGTAGAAAATAGTATATTACATAACGAGAGTTGTAATAACAGATAACATTCTAAACTAATGAAATACTGATCACATAAGAAGTAAAATTAAATAAAACAAGTAAATAAATTCACAAATAAATAAACAATTTTAAGATGGTCAATGTATATAAAAAATGGCGGAATCTGTGAACAACAAAAAATTACGACCTTGAACATTCTATCACCTTTACTGCAGTTGTAGACCAAACGACAGAAAGAAACGGTTTCAGACCATAGCCTATAATTCCCAAAAACCATACACCTAACAAAACCCCGAACTAAAAGCCTTTATTTCTTGATCGTTCGTTGTTGGATATTCTTACAAAACTAATCCATTAACATGACAATCATAACCTAATAATACGTGTTTATTATTTTTGGAAAGAAAGAAGAAGTATAGGTAGTAATTTTTAAAAAAGTAGTTTTGAAAATCTTGTATTTTAACAATTCAGTAATCTGTTCAAGCTGAGAACTGGATGAATAAAGGGTGTAGTTAAAATTCCGTTCATTATCTTGGCAGTTTAAAATTTTGAGACTTAAAACACAAAAAAATACCGTTTAATGCATTAGTGACTAGTGCAGAATAATAATTCAACTTACCAAGCTCCTCAACTCTCTCCGTGGAATCCATGGGATTTACCGTAACCAAGGAATTGTTTGTAGATTGTAAAGTCCGATAATCTGTCGGAATTTCTGTTGTAGATAATTTCCTCGGATTTAATGTGGGTAGTTTCGGGGGCGGTGGCTCGTCGTCGGGAAGTTCGTGATGAGACATGGGCACGTCATCCCCGCCCGGTTTGTGTAGGTCGGGAACTAAATTCAACCAGAAAGAAAGACGATGGGCTCGGTAATGGTTTTTTAATTTCGGTTTGGTATCTGTAAAAGAAGGATACATTAGGCATTAATTTTATTTATAAGTTTATATATGGTTTGTTATTAGGACAATAGAAGTAACTTGTAAAATATCATTTAAATAAACATTTGGTACTGTGATAGGCGTACACTTTGTGCAGCGAAACTGGTACCAGAATTTGTCATTTCTTATGATATACCTTCACAATTTTCCTTATAGTCCAGTCATGAGACGTTTCTGCGGGGTAATTTTGTTATCATAACAAAATCTAACAATTCTAAGTAATTTTTGATCCATTAATTTTTTTTGTACATAGGTGATATTTTTCGAATTATTTACGAATAAACTTGTTTATTTTTTAATACAAAAACCCATGTTTTTAAGCGTTTTCACGAATTACTCAAAAATTTCAAATTTTATCAAAAAAAAAAATAAATAAAATTTAAACACAAAAATTTAGCTGACAAAAAATAAAAAACTGGTTTTTTTTCTGTATGGTTCTGTATACTTAACAAATTAAGCCATTGTTTGTGAAACGACGGTTATTTTTTTATTACTTCGAAATTTGAAATTTTCAACATTAATTAATTTAAAAATGGTAAAACTTGTAGAGAAAACTTAACAGATATTTTCAAAAGTACTTAAATAAATATTTTTTATGAGCACTGTTAAAAGTCTGTTGCAATAAAATTGATCCATGTATGACAAAAATAAAAAAAGGATTTTTTTTTTTTAAATAAACGATTATTTGGCGATACCTTGACATTACTATTCTAAATAAATTTAATAATTTACTTTAGTTGGATATTGTGAAGATACTTTATGTCATACTAGTTTAATATTGTGTTTTATTGCTTAGTTTGTAGCACTACGCTACCGTAACCTACGCCATTTCCATATCAATTAATATATCGAGCAAAAAAAGAACTCTAATTATACGGACTAACTACTGAACTGAACGTCTTGATAAAAATCAGTGCTAGCTGACAAGCGATTTGAAGCAGAACTAGATGGGAATAAACACAAATGATTAAGCAAAAAACAAAACCGGCAGACGAGAAGCACAATTAAGGCCGATCCTCGCGATTCTGGGCATAGGTTAATTCCAATGTAAAAGTTTATATCAAATAACGCAAAAACTATGGCAGATATTGAGATGATTCTTTTTTTATATGGAAGGTCTAAAAAAGTTCTAGTGCACCATTTGGTTGTAAATTAATAAATTGTTTAAATAATATTTTTTTTTTCAAATATTTTTGGTTAAAATAAACGTAAAAATTTTTTTTTTGAAATAGGGCACTACAGAATTTGACCCGCTTTCCGAATCTGTTTTTATTTTTAACATAAAGTGTAACACAAAGCAGCTATTTGATATAAACTTTTAAAAAATTTCAAATTTCTGCTAAATGCAATTTTCTCTCCGTCAGCACAGGGTGTCCTTGTCGGTAGCTTCTGGATTCTCGCCAGGTAGGTAAAACCCTCGGAGGAGGATAAATAAAGTTGAATACCATTATTAGGGCTTATTTCGACTTTTGACAAACCAGTGTGTTTATTGTATTTAAAATGGGAAATTTTATATAAATAAGCAGTAAGTACCTATAATTTTATTAAATATTTATATGAATAGAAATATTTTCTGTTGATTTTCCATTTTCCTTCTAAATATTTATACTGTTTTTATAATAATACAATTGTTTCAGTATTTGCTTACATAATAATAATTTATTATATAGAAACAGCGTAGAGTTTTGGTCAATCATCCAGTACATTTTTTTTTGTATTTCAATCAGAATTATTATTTTCTTTTCTTCTTTACATGAGCTCAGAGTAATAACCAAATATTTTGCAGTATTTGAATATGAAATTTAATTATTTATATTTATTGCTCAGCAACCTACCAATCGTAAAATCAAATACTGCTCAAAGAAACAATGTACAGTCTCGGAACTGGATTGATACTATGAAGACGACTACGGCAAGAAATATAGACAAGCGAAAAACATCCAAAACCCAGATGAGAATTACTTGGAATATCAGATCACTCAACTCAAGGGACCAAGAAATAACCCAAGTGTTGAAGAAAGAAATAGACATGTGTGCTCTACAGTAAACAAAAAATAAAGGAAAAGGTCAATCAAAATTAGGTGAATACATACTAATCTACAGTGGAGTAGCAAAAGAAAACAGGGCCAAAGAAGGTGTAGCCTTACTAATACACCAAAGGTATCAAAATTACATCAAAGAGTGTCAATACATATCAGAAAGAATAGTAACATCAAAGATAAGAATGGAGAAGGACAACCTGAACATTATCGGAGTATACGGCCCAGAAAATAATAAGCCTCAAACAACAAGGGAAGTGTTTTACGACCAATTACAACAAGTAGTAGATCAAGTCAAAGAAAAGATGATAATTCACAGCTAATTTGATTATAATAATTAAGGAACCTCATTTTTTGCCATGTTAAGAAAGGGGATTTGTATTTTTTGTTAAAAAATTTGCACAAACATTGTACCTTTACAGGACCCTCTGCGAATTTTCAAAAATGTAGTTCAAATGGTGACTAGGAAGAACCTACAAATCCATACCGAACAAGCAATTTCAAACTAATAAAATTTTCTATATCTCCGGATATACTCAATGGATTTTGATCATTCTTTTTTTAATTTGTATGTAATTTCTACGTACATTAGGAATTAGTAATTTGTTTATATATTAATTAATTAATAAATAGTCTAGTTTGTTTAAACAATTCGTGCAAAACAATTTTCTTCCAAAAATCTATTTTTTTTAATACAAGTATCAATAATCATAGAAACAGTCGCGTTTTTTGCATTAAATTGTCAATAATTAAAAACAGCTCCAGATTCAAGGCAAGAAACCAGTAGGTTTTTTTTGCTAGAGGTCTACAATAACTAAAAAAGCTGTCAGCGACTTGGATTATTGAGTGTCACGAACATGGTCTATTTTTTGCTTATTTCCCTGGAGTATATATTTGACTAACATCTGTGTAATTTCTTTGTCGCTTCCTTGCTGGTTTTGCACATTGCTATGATAGCAATATCTTCGGTAAATGTTGCAATTGTATATTTTCTAGGAAAATAATACAACACGTATACAAAAGGTAAAGACACTTCTTTGTGGCAGCCCTGCTGTAATATCTGTCAATTCCATGTATGTTTCTTCCTGTTTAATTCTGAAATATCTTTCCAAGATGCAGGAGTCAATTATTTGAGAGTATCGTTTTGGTAAATGTAGTCTTAGTTTATAGTTATGGCGTCTTTGCCATACTTTATCATATACCTGAGTCACATTCTAAATTATTGATATAAGGTTGAATGCTCGAATAAATGAACTTTAAAAAATGAAGGCAAATTTCGAGCACAAATTTAATAATCAAATCTTGAGCAAGTACTTTCGCTTTCTACAGCATTATCAGGGGCATCTGCGCTTGCTGGGTAGCCCAAATTTGACGAAGTAAGTCTAAAATGTTAATCACAAAAAACTTTTATCATCCATTAACTTCGAGTTTTTTATCGAGGTTTATTAATTTTCTTCATTTAAAAAAACTTTTCTTGGCTTATTTCAGATGCTTCTGATGATGCTGTAGAAAGCGAAAGTACTTTTGCAAGATTTGATTATTAAATTTGTGCTCGATATTTGCCTTAATTTTTCAACGTACATCCTAAAATGTCCATCATATTATCCTTCATGATCCATATTTCACATCCATATAAATAGTTATACAGTATATTTCATCATCATCATCATCATCATCATCATCATCAATGGCGCTACAACTCTTCGTAAGTCTTTGCCGCGGTTACTATTGCCTTCCATGTTTGTCGGTCCTGTGCCAGTAATTCCCATTGTCGTACTCCCATTTTCTCTAGATCTAGGAGTATATTTACATATAACAAATTAAATCCTTAGTTGTAAATGCTCCTCATAAATCTCATAAATCTAAACTTTTGTACTCCGTTCTTTATTGACAATTAGTTGCATAGGGCCGACGTTTACTAACCACAAGCACACAAGTAAATTATCTTATTGCTTTCATTTGACAATATTAATTGTCTGTTAGATTAGCATTATAAGAAGTAAATTAGTCTCTTACTGAATGATAATAAACAACACATCAAACTTATTCTGAAACTATTTCTTGTGTCATGATATATTTTATTAGATTTTGGTGTAATAAATCACAACATATCAAATTCAATATCTAAAATCTAAATTGGAAATGATAGCGTAATTAAATTATTCCTTGCTTCAAGAAATTTTAAAAAGAACTGATTTCTATTACTATCCAGTGCAAGGACAGTTATTTTGTTATTTATATCGAATAGAGATAACTGTTAGTTTTGCGGTATGGACCCCAAAAAATATTTTATTCGAAAATATTGATAAATATATGGAACTGTGGGAAATATGCTACAAAAATTTCAAGATTTTTATTATAATTTTTATTTGAAATACCTTCTGAAGAAACATTAGACATAATTCTATATTTATATATTTTCATTTTATCAATTTTAATGATCGTGATACTAATTAGATAAGATTTTTATTATAATTTTTATTTGAAACACCTTTTAAAGGAACATTAGACATAATTCTATATTTATGTCGTTTCATTTTATCAATTTTAATGATCGTGATACTAATAAAATTTTTATGATATATAATAATAATATTTTTTTATAATTTTTATTTTCCGTAAACTTTAATCTACGTTAAACTTCAGACAGTCAATTTTGACGTAAAAAAAATAACAAATAAATTATGTATGTACATTTGTTACATTGTAAATTTATGAATAGATTATATTACTTTGATCTGTCATTATATTTACTCAAAACACCACCACAGAATAATAAATAATCAGAAGGGCCACTCTCAGATGCCGCCTTTGAAGTTTTTCAGCACGCGCGCCATGTTTTAGGAGGACACAGACATATGATTTGTGTGGTTATGTAATTGTTTATATTTATGTTTAATTATATTATATTTATGTTATTATATTTAACAATGTTAATAT